CGGGGCGCCACCTGTGCTCTATCACTCTAACTCTACCTTACGGGGCGCCACCTGTGCTGTATCACTCTAACTCTACCTTACGGGGCGCCACCTGTGCTGTATCACTCTAACTCTACCTTGCGGGGCGCCACCTGTGCTGTATCACTCTAACTCTACCTTGCGGGGCGCCACCTGTGCTGTATCACTCTAACTCTACCTTGCGGGGTGCCACCTGTCCTGTATCACTCTAACTCCACCTTACGGGGCGCCACCTGTCCTGTATCACTCTAACTCTTGGGCTTAAGTGATTCTCTTGCCTCAGCCTACCAAAAGTAGCTGGGACTACAGATGCCTACCTCGGTGCTCGGCTATTTTTTGTTGCAGTTGTTGTTTAGCTGGTCTGGTCTGGGTTTGAACCTTCCCGCCTGGGTGTATGTGGCTGGCGCCGTAACTCCTGTGCTACAGCTGTGGAGCTGAGTTTTTTTGTTTTTAGTAGAGACAGGGTCTCGTTCCTGCTCAGGCTGGTCTGAGAACTCCTAAGCTTGAGGGATCCACCTTCCTGGGTCTCCCAGAGTGTACAGGCCTGTGAGTCATGTCACCCAGCCTGAATCAGCTGGCTTTGATCATAATTTAGTACCACTCCCTGAATGTTAAGCAGATGAAGAATTATAGAGTGAGGCGGCGCCTGTGGTTCAGTGAGTAGGGTACCAGCACCATATACTGAGGGTGGTGGGTTCAAACTTGGTCCCTGCCAAACTGCAACTAAAAAAAATAATAATAATAATTCCAGAGTTGTGCCTAGAGCAGTGGCTCACACCTGTAATCCCACCACTCTGGGAGGCTGAGGTGGGTAAATTGCCTGAGCTCAGGAGATGGAGACCAGCCTGAGAAAAAGCAATACCTCATCTCTTAAAAACAGCCAGGCATTGTGGTGGGCACCTGTAGTCCCAGTTACTCGGGAGGCTTAGACAAAATGATCACTTGAGCCCAAGAGTTTGAGGTTGCTATGATCTGTGACATTATGGCACTCTACTGAGGGCGACATAGTGAGACTGTCTTCAAAAAAAAAAAAAAGAAACTTTTCCTGAACTACTTCCATTTCTTGTCATTCAAATCTTTCAAAAGGATGCTGATGTAGTTTTTGACTTTTTTTGGGCGGGGGGGGGTGGGGGGTGAGAACCTCAAGCTGTCACCCTGGGTAGAGAGCCATGGCATTACAGCTCACAACAACCTCCAGCTCCTGGGCTTAAGTGATTCTCTTGCCTCAGCCTCCTGAGTAGCTGG